GTGGCGCCGGACGGCACGCGGCACAAGTCCCACGATTTCAGAAGTGAGCAGCAGCTCGTTTCAAGGACTCAGGTCTTGGAGCGTTTTATACTTTGATCTCAAAGTGTTGTTGTGCTGCATGCCCGTCATCGCTTGATTCTTTGTATGAAAGCACGCATGTGTTTGCAAGATGCACCGTGTCTTCGCATGTTTGCCTGGAGCGTGCTACGGATTACGAGAGTTCGGTAGCTTCGTTCAGAATGGTTCTGCTACATGTGGCAGGGCCATGGTGGAAACCCTCCAGCTGGGTTCTTTTAAGCATGAAAGTCTGAAAGCATGCTCTAAAGATCTCTAAAGCCTGAAAGTCTCATTCAAAGACTCAAAGAGGCCACAGGCGGGAAGGTTGGTTGGGAGTTGGTGAATGACTCAAGTGCCTAGGCCGAAGACTGAGCCCTGATCAGCGCAAGAATCTTAGTTGAAACTGTGCACCCCTGAATGAGTTCACGGGCAGCATAGCCATGCTCCCCACATTGCTGTTGTTTCCTGGCTTGGAGGTCTCAGAGAAGCTCAGAGTCAAGGAAGCACAGCCCACGTTCTTTGCTCACACAACCTCTTGCTTGCGAATGCATGTCCAACATGTCGAATGGAGTCATGCTGCTGATCCATTTGATATCATCCTGGATGCTGGTATCCTGTAAGACGACATGAAGGGTTCCCACGGCAATTGGCGCTCGCATCCTGCCTGCAGTGCCGCTAAGCGGCCAGGCGTGCTAATACCAACTCAATACGTGGAGACTCCCACTTTGTGCCACGGAAAGAGGTGCTATCACTCCATCATGGTGTGGATGCTCTTGGGATGATGTGTCACGCGTTCTAGCTGACATTTGTAGCAAGCTGTCGAGGCAGTCTCCACGTCCCCCTGCCTTACAAACAAGAGTAGGAGTAGGAGTCTACTTTAGCGGCCAGCTACAATGCTGCGAGGCAATGGTGAGCCTGCTGGCATGGGTGAGGGACACAAGCAGCGAAGCGGCTAGAAGTTTGGTTCCTTCATATTTGTGCAGATGTCCACTAGCTATCAGCGCCCATTTTGCTAGGATGTCTTTGAGCGTAGCCGACTGCTTGCAATGTATCAAGTTGCTGTTCAATCTTGCCGGTTTCATCAAATCGCTCCTCCTTGCCGAATTGGTCCTCCTTGGCTCCGATTGCAAGTTGCAAGTGTCTAACATGTTGGCCCTCACATTGCCAGCCTCACAGCGCCCGCACACTGCCTTGCAAGTGCAAAGAAGTGAAAGCGTCAGATAATTTTGAATCCACTTGTCATTTCCTGCAAGGAGCGGCAGCTGGTTGACGCAGCGTTGAACCAGGAGCAGCTGTTGCAGAACCCTGAGGAGGCACGAATGCGATGGCGAGGAAATCAAGGCGTGCAGAGGTTCAATTGCTCAGAGTCCAGGCCCATAGTTCGTGTTTCAAGGTGGTCTGCACGCGCTATGGTGCTGAGCTGACCAGGCGACACCTGCACGGGCCACAGACCATGCATGGAGTTCATGATGTTGCTGTGAGGTTTCAGGCAGGAAAGGCAAAACAAGGCAGGCGAGGCAAGCGAGCGGGTTGCAATAGAGTGCGGCGTGCATCTAACGGATTGCTTGGTGCAGGATGGAAGGACAATGCTTACGCGAGTTGTTGGTTCAAGGCGAGTTACAGTTTGCCAGCCGGCAAGGCTTGTCAAAATGCTGGTCAAAATGCCAGCCACCCAATGGTCACCAGTTGCTGCGCGGAATGGCAAGTTTGCAGGGCTGCCTTTGAGGCCTATGATGCGCAGGTCTCATGTTCCCCGCCGAGCTTGGGAATCATTTGAAGCCTTTTGCAATGATCCCCTTGTGGCATGCACTGGCTGGGCTGCATTGATTTCAGGGATGGCAGTGGTAAAAGTCGCAGTGGATGAAGATCGGCACACGCCAAGTGCATTCTTGAAGAGGAAGTCTAAGCTCGGCAAGAAGACATCATCTCCAATTGTTTGCCTAGGCGACAGCATCACTCGCGGCAACCTATCAGCAGATTGGGTGGGAGCTTTGCGCGAATCGCAGGAAGGCTTCGTGCTCAACGCCGGTGTGAATATGCAGTGCTCTCAAAACATTCAGAGGCGCATTGATGAGGTCATTGCATGCCAGCCATCTCATGTTACCGTTCTCGTCGGCACCAATGACCTCAAAGCAGCGTTGTCACCAGCAGAGGGCTTCTTGTACAAAGTGTTTGGTGACTTGCCAGAGGTACCCTCTTTGGAATCCTATGAGCGGACTTTGGCAGATATCAAGCAGCGCTTGACTGATGCTGGGGCACAAGTGGCCTTGGTCTCCCCACCAGTGCTCGGGGAGGATATCCAGTCTGAAGCCAACAAGCGCGCTGCAGACTTTGCTGCTGTCGTGCGCAGAGTTGCCGAGACTGGAGCTCGCTGCGCATACCTGCCTCTCTTTGAGATGACTTATGCAGCACTCCCTGCCAAGGGGAGACCATATTGTGGAATGAATTTCTTTGCTTGGTGCTGCCTCCTTTGCTGGGATATGCACATCATGCGGCGGGATTTGGCAGACATTCAAAGGGAAAGGAATCTTGGGGTGACGGTTGATTTGGTGCACCTCGGTCCTCAAGCAGCTGAAGATCTGGCAGGTATGGTGCGCGACTTCGTTCACATTCCGACCAACTTGCCTGCCTTGCCAGGCTCACAGATCATGGATATGGTGGGGGCCGAGCTGAGAACATCGCAGTGATCGTCACAGTTTTGTCTCGTCCCGAATTCGAAGCGTGTTTGAAGTGTTTCAACGAGTGGCTGTGGCCAGGGCCTCAATTCGCACGCCGGCTCTTTGAGAGTGCTGCACCGCTGAAGCGGATTTTCGGCGCCTAACTTTCATGCCCTTTGCAGCATGAGGCGGTGCAACAGTGCCTGTTAACGCCAATTCGATCCATTGCCTCCGAAACTTGGACCTGGTGGCCGTTTGTGCTTCTGTTGGCAGATTTGAAAGTCGCAGACTTCGGTTGCATGTGGCACAGTAGGCATGTGCAAACAGCCAAACTTCGGAGGCTGCATTTTCCTAGTCAGCCGACTTGCTGTGCATGACTTTTCGGCCGCTCCTGCGCTTTGCTCGATTTTCATCCAGAGCTTGCTTGTCCCGCTTTTCACGTCCTCCTGCAGGGCATCAGATCAATGAGCCATCATGCAGTGTCCGTATGGGCATCTCGGCCATAGCAGCCTAGTTGCCTGGTGCGGCATACCTTTTGCCTGGCACCTGTAAAACAACACGCACATTTGCTTTGTGTGATTCACATGGCATTCTGGCAACGTGTTGCCCTGGCACATGATGATTGACATGCAAGGTCTTGCTTGCTTCCCGATGAGTGGGTGAATGACGAGGCTGGTCTCAATTCCAATGGGCACCAACGTAATGCGTGTGAGTGCATCCAGTTGGCAGCTGATGACGCCACTGCTTTCCTGCGAAAGTGATGCAATGATGTTCGCATGGACGCTGAAGACAAATCATGGGACCTTTGCTGGATGGCTTTGCTGCCATCATTGAACAGGCCCGCTTCACGACACCCACACACACACACACACACTTGCACGAATAGAAAACGTCACCAAGCACACCAGCATGCAAAGTAAGCCTTGATGAGCAAAACATCGCTTCAACCTATCCTGTATTCCCATGCCACGCCGAATGGTCCGGAGCAGTCAGGGCCTCAGGCTTGTGGGATTGAGTGTTCCAAACCAAGTCTTGCTTGAGCCCAGCCCAGCGATCCTAATACGCTGTGATCAATGCAGGCTGGTCAAACAGGCTAGAACTGTTGTGCAACGAGCCAATTCTGCTACAGCTCAGCTCCCATCAAGCAGAGTGGTGTCAATGCTGCATGCCAAGTTGGCATCACACTCGCAGGACTGCTGCTTCCGGTTGTGAAGGTGTTGGCCAAGGTCATTGCACGCTCCGCGCAGGAAGGTGGTTCAGGCTCGGCAACCGGCGGGTCATTGCAGCTGCTCTTGCTTGAGCTTGGACACGCTTCATGTGCCTCGCGCGGCCTCAACAGTCTCAGCCTCAAGGCATGGATGTTGCAAGTTGCAGGTCCTAAGTGTTACAATGTGTTGACCTCTGGGAAATTATGGGAACGTTGTGCATCATCACTAGTGCTGCAAGAGCCTGCGCAGAATTACGTGGGCGCACTGATCTAGAATCTGGGAAGGATGCTGCGCTATGTGCTGCTCTTGTTGGCTGCCTGCGCTGTGGATATAGGGCAGGATGTCTACGAAAAGCTTGAAGATTCCAAGCTTGCAAGTCCATGGGTTGAGAGTTCATCCCGTCCACAAATGCTCACAAGGCGTGCAACAGTTGCCACAGCTTGCGACTACTCACGGCCGCCACATTACGCCTCATGATCGGCGTGTTTAACAAGTGCATTGCAACATGTTAGCATGCCAACTGCATCAAGCCTTAACAGCATGTAACGGACATGTCACTTGAGATGACTTGGCACAGCAGTGGATTGTTCTTACGAGCGGTAATGCGTATACCTTGCTTGGACGGCATAAGTGGCGAAATGCTTTTGGGTGTCATTCTGCTAAGTCGTTCAGCTTGTAAATGGAATTCGATAAGTCGACCAAGGAAATGAGCAAGCATTTGGACTTCAACCTCACGGCAGAGCAGCAAAGTTCAATTGAAGATTGGCTTCGGGAAGATATCAGAGAGTGGGCACCCCAGGAGGAGCTGGCCTTACGAAGTTATGTCCTCAGCCTAGTTGATGGCGATGATGCGCGGCTCAAAGCAAATGCCCTACGGGTGTTTCGCAATTTTTGTGAAATACAGATGATGCTTGGATCACATCATTCGCAGCAGGCATTTGCGGATGTTATTCCTGCCAACTCTGCATTGCCTGAAGTGCTGTCCCATGTGAAACATGGAACTGAAGAACCAAATGTATACAACCTAGCTTTCGCTGTGAGCAAGCACTCGGCTTTACCAGCACAGCTTGCCACATTTGCTCAGAGTATAGCCCGTGCAAGGCTTAGAATGGAGGAGATCAACAACGAGCTTTAGCTGAGTGCGCATGAAAAGCAGTGCATCAGAACGCAAAGTGTGGCTTGACCCGATGTCCTAACATGCATGATGTATGAAGCTAATTTTGCTCGTGCTGCCGTTTGACTGCCGTTGTTTGCTCAAGTTTCATTGGCTTGCTATGAGCGAGTCGTTCTTTGCCATTGTTCTTCACAACCTGCATTTGTTTGCCTTAACGTATCGGTGTAGATACGACGATCAGGCCTGGTTGAACCGCGTTGACAGCAGATAATAATAACGGCAAGTACGCTAAGTACAAAAAGAAATTTATTGGATATTTGCCATCTAAAGTGCAATAGCTCCAAGTAAGTCCGATTCAACTCAAAGAGTCACAAGCCGCAGCATCATCAGGCTGCCCTGCAATGGTCATGGCACCTTGTGAGGCTGTGCCGCTTAAGCCCTCTCACAGCCGTGGCTCCACCCGACCAACGAGTGCGGGCAGTCTCAGAGAGACGTCGCAAAATCTGTCCCGAAGCCGTCCGCTTAGCGCTGGCAGCGGGCAGGATGCACCAAGATTTGTGCTCCACGAAAGTGTGGCGCAAGTGGATGGCTCAGATGTTTGGCCAGAGCTGCCTAGCAGGCCAACAAGTGCTGGCTATAGCAGGCCAACCAGTGCTGGTTACAGTTATTCGGTTACCAGACGGTCGAGCGCTTCAATTTCTGCCCGTGGCGACAGCCCCAATCATGCAGCAACCCTAGCTCGGGAGCCCGAACCTCACTCACTGGAGCAGATGATCATCGGTTCGCCTGATTTCGGTCGTCGGACTTTGGAAGAGGAATTGCGGGAGCCGGTCCTGACGCCAATTCCAAGCACTCTGGCTACGCCATTGGAAAAGCAGATTGGCACCGCAATCGGCTTGAAGGGCAAAGGCCGCCAGGTTCCGCGGCTTCCCCGGGATGTGGTGAGCTGCAAGCATGGCAGCACTTGCTGCTGGCGATGGCTGGCCCGTGCAGCTTTGGAGGAGGTAGCTGGCACGAGTTTGGCGAGCATGAGCTTGGCAGAAGGCGTGGCGCAAATCAAAGAGGAGCAGGGCTGGGGAAGGGGAGGGATGGTAGCAGACACCACAAAAGACATGCCGCCATGCCTCCAAACCGGCTTACCAAGCGCCCCCTTAAAATCCAATCCCAGGGACCTGAAATAGGAAACGCCGCGGAATGACAAGCGACCCGCAACCACGCTTGAGTGGCCAAAGCACAGCACAGTGTGACCACCAAAGCAGTGGCCCAGCAAAGTCTTTGCCGACTGCTGACTAATTACCTGGAAGAGCAACCAACAAGGGAGCAGTTGAGATTGAGTTGAGAACGGAACGCACATTGTTCAGGATGTTTGTCTCTTCTCTAGTTTTTGTGGCGTTTGCCGGCTTTGGCTTTCCACACGCTCCCAACATCACCAGCAACACGCCAGACGGTGGAAGTTTGAGAGAAATAACTATGGGCGCATGGATTTCTGGAGGAGCTGGCCCGATTGCGCGGTGAGCATGCAATGCTGGAGAAAGAGCAAGCCCGAAGCAAGGCAGGGCTTCCAATCAAAATCCAAAACACAGATCAGATAACGTACTACATTTGCTGGTTGCCCGGCGAGCGCCCGAGTATTTTGCCTCATTCCTTCAGTCACCCTTCAGTTGGATATTTCGTGGCGCCTGGCCGGAGGCAGACAGGAACATCATGCCCGATAGATGTACGACTCTTTAATGGTTTCCTCAAGATGTCAAAGGGTTGCTGAGGCTCAAACTAGCAGGGTGGGTGACTTAGTAAATGTAGTGTGTCGCCCTCTGTACTGTAGTCAGAATGTCTTGTTGTTGGCCCGCAAAGGTTCATACTGTGTGTTTTTCCAGTGCGCCTACGCGCTTGAAAGGCAGCGGAGGGCGCAGCAGCATCACTGCAAGAAGAGCTGCTTGCAGCAAAGGTGGATAGCAAGGAGTTCAGGCGGGCCGCAATGGAGACATTGACATAGATGCTGCAGACCAGGCCAATATGCACACAGACGCGCACCTACACACACCCCCACACCCACGCGCACACGCACACAGACACAGACACAGATACACACACAAACACAGATACACACACCCAAACACACTTGAACTCCCGAGGGAGGTTGCTTATCTTCGAGTACAACTTGTCGGCTGGGTTAGTTCGAGTGGGTAATTTCGAGTGGCGAGACCGATGGCTTCCCTCTAGAGTCGAAAACGTTACCAGTTCCAAACCAAGGGCCAAATGGACTTTGTATCACTGGTGCAGGTACACGCGGATGATCGGTCCGCGCTTGGTTAGCTTCGTTGGCACAGGTCGGCCTGTGCCCCCTGCGTAGTTGGATCCAGGGTGAATTTGGATCTCGGCACACACACGCCCCCTCAGGGGCGAACGCACTGATTTTCCGGAAGAACAAGTAGGCTAGCACGAAAACAATTCAGGAGCCAAAATA